TACACGAAGAAAAAATAAAAAGACATTTCGACCCGCTTCTATATCGCAAAACACTCAGCGAGCAGAATGAGCCTAAAGAAGTCCCGCACTCAGACCTCTACGACCCAGATACGTTGTTAGAATCTAAGGACGAGGAAACAGAACTTGAACCAGCCTGATAAGCGTCAAAAACTGCCTACACGCTGTGTTTCAAAATGTAAAAAGTTAAGAATACTTATAAGGAATTAATATACGTAATAAACTTAAGACGTAGCACTACGAAACTTGGCAACTATGCCCCGAAAAATCACCAGCCTCTTCGCTAAGATTTACGACCCCAGCGGCACAAGCAGCCAGCGCAGCAGCCTCGATCATCCGTCCCTCACATCCCGACGCCCGAGCCCCCCCCTCCCCCCTCCCCTCCTGCACCACGAACCATCCTCCCGATGCGCTGAGGGCTCCACTGACACATATTTACCGCGAGAGCAAACCACTCATCAAAATTTCCTTCCACCGCTCTAGGACCAGCAAAAATGATCTCACTCTTCCTCTGCACGCTCCTGGCACTCACGCAAGTGACTCTTGCATTAGAGCCAGCGTCACTCACGGGATTCGACTGCGTATCCCAGCCCATTCGGCAAACAGAAATATCACTGAAAAACATCAAGGAATGCAATGGATCTATTGAAACGACTACCAACACCACAACAATCATTCAAGTGGTTCAACAAAATGAAGAGATGCCAATCAGAGTAATTTCTTGCAAAACAGAAATACTCCGAATAGCACACCGTTGTTCAATGTGGGGTGACCTGCAATCTGTGCCGAACTCCCTAAGCACATATTATCCGGACCTTACAATGAGTCAATGCCACAGTTTGATCAAAGACAGAGCAGCCACGGACTACGGGAAAATGGTTGACTTAACCATGAATGGAGAAACCATCAGAACCACCCTACTAGCGGGTGAAATTAAACCCAAAGGAGGATGCATCGGAGGAAGCTACTCTGACGGCACTTATAACCACGATGACGTAGTAGTACAGGCAACAATAAAATTCACCCTCTATGACTCGGAGGCCATGTTCAACCCAACTTTAAACGAAATTTATCTCAAAACAGGAGTGAAATGTGTATATTCTGCAGGAAAATGTTTTGATCCAGACAGAGGATACACATTTTGGGAACCGGAAATACAGGACAAATGCGATGCAAAGCACTACACAGTCTTGTATGAAGGACCAGCAACCCGCTTCAATGATTCCACCGCCGCAGATCCAATTTCTTACCTGGTGAATGAAAATGATGTGGCTTTTTGTCTGACAGCAATAAAAAGAACTACGAGTAGAATCTGTCATCACGAAGCATTTCAGACAGAACACTCCAGATTTTTCGTCCTTCCAAAAACTGAATATGAATTTCCTTTCTACAAAAATTCTAAAAATGTCACTGCAGACATATTGACCTATTTCAATGTGAAATTCGTGTTTCTCGATAAACACATCAAATCTTCTCTTTCTCAATTATACACCCAGCTGCGGTCCGCAGCTTGCCAACTAGAACGTCAAATTCTAGAGCATCACTTAACGCTTGCCATACACCACGGAGATGATTTTGCTTGGATTAGAGGAGGAGGCCCAGGTTACATGACTATCACCATGGGCGAAGTCGCCTATCTCCTCCAATGTCTAGCCGTTCCAGTCACCTTACGGCAAACAGATTCCTCTTACAATGAAATCCCAGTATACTACCAAAACGAGACAAAATTTTTGATCCCCAGAACACGAATCCTCACATCAAAAGGCACCGAAGTAGACTGTAGCCCAAACATGCCGGTCAAATTTGAAATCAACGGACGCTGGCGTACTTTCACCCCCCGCATCATGCCAGCAGACCCACCTACTGAACTCACATCTCAACTTGCAATAGATTGGAAATACACTAGCCCAGACAGCCTCTTTCAAGCAGGCATCTGTACATTGGAATATTCAAAGACGAATAACCTACCCTCTTGAGAGCGGGGCAGTAGCTACGTTTATGCGAGGCTCGAAACCAAGGTTTCACGAAACCCGAGTTTGTAATGCAAGTTTCCTCCGTCGGGTTTATGCGGGCGCTGTAACCCGACTTTCGCGGGAAATCAAACTTTCCGATTCTGGCGCTGTTTATGCGCATATTTTCGATTGAACTTGAATTTCATGGCGCCATTTTCACAAGCTATACTTCATTTTGTCACTATGAATTGATTCAATAAAATTATTATTACTCTTTTATCCCGTGTATGTTCCACAATTTTTCCGCAATATTTAAGCGGAGGCTTCATCTTCACTAGAAAAGCCTTTACTGACTTTCTGAGGAACAGTTGGAAAAATGACAGTGGACTTTTAATCATTTTAGGTTCATATTTAAAAATTGAATGAATACCTAGGTAATCTCAACAACTCTTCAAATCATACTCGAGCTTATATTCTGAGTTCAGAAAAGTTGCCATTGGTAATTTTAGTGATGTTAAAAATAATTGTGGCAGGCGCAGAAATTCATCATATTGTTTATTGAGCTTCTAATGATCTTACAATAGGTAGATATAGGCATTGAAAGTGTAGGAGTGCTAATCCAGTAAAGCACCGGACCTTCACTCCATGGTGTCGTAAAGATTGTATGTCCGCCATTATTGTAGTGAAACAAATAACTAATCGGGAATACTTATGGGAATCGCTCCTTCAAAATATGATCAAAATAAGCGGATATTGATAGGTCAACAATGTATCGCTGAAGCAGAAGCGTCTAAATCCTCTTGAGGCAACGGACGGTGACAATCTTAACAAACTGATGACGCTTCACAAATTTTAAATTTCCACATTCCCAGAGACACGCGCTGAAATCCTGTTTCTCAATCCTCTTTCCGACTGCTCTCTGCGTCCATGAGCAAGACAGGAAGAAAATAGGCAAGCTACCTACTACTGTTTGCCTACCTATGTGTTTTTTTTCTTAAACTTGATTTTCAAAGCTGACTCATGTAAAGAGCAACTGACAAACAAGATTTCAGAACCTGCCATTGCATTTCACTAACCTAAGACACAAACCCAACCTTACCATTGATATTCTTTCGCTTACGCTGTATATTATTCTCCCATTGAGATTCGATATGAACTCAATTCAAAAATGCTTTTGAATTTAATTATTCGGGTAGATTGGAATATGGAGCTTTCAGTCTACCTGTAAAGCGCATTTACTGACATTCACTGCTGTCACAAAATATTTTTGCACAGGCAGAGCCACTTTCCACAGTTGATGCATCTCTAACGCCAAGGCTCAATTATGACAAGTGATTCAACGACCAAAAATTGTTACACGTCTCAATAAAAACCTTATTCTTATCTCAAATTGAAAATCTTAGATCACAGAGCACTCACCGAAGAATCTCCTTCCTTCTGCCTCAGTATGAAAGAGTGACGATACTTTGGAGCAATAACTTTGAACTAGTTTCAATAAATGATGGCCTCAGAATTTGAGTCATCATTTACTAGAGATTGGATCAAAGAAATAAGTCAGCAGGTCACGGTTGTGGCTGGAGTCACACTTCCAGTAGGACAACCAGGAAATAGATACACGGATAACACACAAATTCAAGAGCTATGCAGCTCTGACTGGATCAGATTTTAGATTTAATCGGTAGATTGAAATGAAAAAATTCGGTGCACTACTTAAAGGGAAGCATGGTGCCTTATCTTGAAATCTTAGGCAAATCGTTTGGATACAGTAAAAAAGTTCTCCGCAGATGATGAACTGGTAGGTAAGGCTATTACTCAATTGTAGCCTGTAAAGCTCTTTGCTTGCTTTGCTTCTGTAGTCATAAAATGTTGATTAGAGTTGCAAGAATTATCTGGAAAAGCAGTAATAAGCCTGGATTCCATCTGACACTAAACACCTTCACTAGAAAATAACGTCCTACGTTTAGCTAAATAAGGATAAATAAGCCACATATAACTGAAGGAATCACGTAAAAGTGCTTAAGCAACAATTAAAGTAAAATGATGATTGGAAAAAATGTTAAATAATGGCAAAATTAAAGCTAAATCGTGGGATAAGCACCAGTTGTTTACGAACGTTATGATAATAAATCCGCCATATTGCCGATCGCGCACCTGAAAAGCGCATTTGAAGTCGAATTTCAACTAATTTCAACCTCCGGTTCGTTTATGCGGAGTGCGATAACCTAGTCTTTAGTGTAAAATAAGGTTTCTAACACAAATTTCGGAAACCTACATTTCGTTAGTTCCGTATCGTTTATGCCGTGATTTGAACCTTGGTTTCAAACTTAGGTTTCGATCATAGAGAAAAAAAAGGAGGTGTTTGCATTTCGGGCATCTTGGAATTTTTCATAGAGTATCTATAGCTTTGATGACGTCATTGGGTACAGCGACGTTTTTATCCTGTCGATTTTCTTGGAAATGGTGTAATTTAAGGGAAAAAGTCATTCTATAAAAAGTGCTTGAAATTAAATAAAGAGTTGATTTAAGTAAAAAAATCGGACATTATGGTCCGTTTTTACAGCGTCAACATAACCCTCAACGAGCGTCTTGTTTACATTGATGACGTAGGTGGGTACAAATCCTCAAGATGCAAACACCTCCTTTTTTTTCTCTATGGGTTTCGATTGAAGTTAGGTTTAGAGGCTCGCATAAACATAGCTAGTGCAAAACGCCTTTACCAGAGAAGCAATGGGCCTCCCACAGTCAGTTAGGAGACTCCATTTTGAAAACTTCCTTACCGAAAAATCTCTCGAGACAATCTTCCAAACCACCACACGAAAAGTCTGGGGGGCCTTTCACGAGTTTGGATCAATAGCATCCGGCTTCATCGGAATTTTATTCATCTTCAAGCTCCTTAAAATACTCTTGGACACGATCATCTTCGGACACTTGCTCTATAATGTTTTTGGCTTCTCTTGGAAAATGCTAGCTATGTTTTGCGACACATTGGCGAACTACTTCATCCACGACCACCACGTGACTTCACGAGCAAAAGATGAAATCCTCGAAGAGCCCCAGCATGCACCTACTCCCGCAAAAATCTGGACCTCTCAGTATACAAATCTCGCTAAAGCCGCAGCGCGTGGCGCACTTCAGTCTCAAGAGCTCTAAAAATTATTGCATCATCTCCAGAGGCCCTGAGCTTATCCCAGCCAAAAAGTGCATCCTTCTCTCAGTCGAGATCACTATCAAACGCACAATGGACGCGCTCCTGACTTCATTTGAAGATGCCTGGACCTCGGCCCCCGAACACAAAAAACCGCTCGTCACCCAAGCACATCGCAAAAAAATGGCAGGAACGCCGATCAGACCATGGACACCTCAGCTATTCTCCATCAGTTAAAGTTCATCCCCAGTGTCTTCTCCCGAAGTACAGTTCGCCAGTGATGACCCTAGAAACCCAAAGAACAAAAACATCACCCCAGGCCCCCTTCAACCCTCAGTGCGCATCTCCCATCAGCCATACCCACCCCTAGTGCAAGTGCTCCCGAACCAGCCACCGTGAAGCCCATCTCCGGCCCCTCACCGCCGTGCAAAAACTCCAACACCCCTAGTGCCCTCATGCCAAAATCGCAAGTTGTGAAACCCCTCTCCGCCTCTACACCCCCGGCAGTTCCGCGCGCCACAACACCGCGCGCGAAATCCAACACTCCTAGTGCGGTCAAGCCTAAATCGCCCGCCGTGAAACTTAACTCTAACCCTACAATTCCACCAACCCAGTGCGCCAAAAAACCCAACACCCCTACTGCAGTCAAGCCTAAATCGCCCGCCGTGAAACTTAACTCTACCTCTACAATTCCACCAACCCAGTGCGCCAAGTCGCCATGCGCAAAATCCACCCCCAGCTCCAAGCAGTCGAGCGCCCTTCAACCAAAACCCCGGACTTCACGAGCCCGAACAACCAATAATGCACCCTTGGACTCACAACCCAAGAATAATACCTCCAAGGCCACAACAAACACTCCTGGGACCAAAACGCCTGCACAAGCCCCTGGAAAACTAGCAACCACATGCAAAATTCCAAAGAAACCCAACACACAGGATTCCATGCTATCTCGCACCACGCACCCCCCGGCCAGGACTACCCCTACACAACCACCATCTGACACCCCCAGGAAACGAAAATCACCGAAACGAAAATCACCATCCGAGTTGTTCCTCGAACTAGGCTTGGACCTACCAGACCTGTTATCTCCACTACATTCGCCCGTCAGCGCACCTCCGCCACCTTCCAATGGACTTCCACCGGCCATACAGACTCCGCCATTCTCCCCACCCCCGATTCCGGAACACGCCGCTAATCCCTCCACAGCAGAATCACCAGCAACACCAGGTACTTCAGTGGCAGCGCCTCTAGAGCCAGAGCCCTTACCTCTTTATGCCGCACCCTTCCAGACCTCCTTCCCTACTCTACGTCACTACCCACAACCAGCCCAATTTCTGTATGCCCTCTCCTCCCTGCTAGGCCCCTTACACTAATCCCCAGCCCAACCTGAATATTTTCTATCAATTCACCCCACACCGCTCCCTGAACCATGGGTTCAACCATACACCCCCACCCCGCTGACCGCTTCCATCCCCGTCCACACAGGATTCACTGGACCCACATGGAACAGCAGAAGAGCTGGAAAACGCGTACAGCGCAAAAAACAGCGTTACGCGACTTCGTCAACCCCTCAAGTGCGCCATTCTCTACATTTTTGTACATTATATTTCATTACTATTATTGTGAGGCAGCTCCGTATTCAGCGCCCCTCAAACTTGCCGGCTGCTTTTGAGCGCCCCCCTAGTTTAAGATGCACCATAATTTTTTCTTTATGTGGCAGCTATCACTGAGCGCCCTCCTAATTTAAGATAGAATGTAATGTTTTTCTGAGGCAGCTACCATTAAGCGCCCAACTAGTTTAAGATACACCGTAATTTTTCCTCATGTGTCAGCTATCACTCAGCGCCTTTCTAATTTAAGATAGAATGTAATTTTTTTCTGAGGCAGCTACCAATAAGCGCCCAACTAGTTTAAGTTACACCATAATTTTTTCTTATGAGGCAGCCACCCTTTAGCGCCTCTTACTCGTGCCGGCCGCTATTCAGCGCCCATGAGTTAGCTAGAATTATGCTATAAGAAGCCCCCCCCCCCCATCATTAGCACCCCCTTCAAATGTTCACGTGGCAGCTTCCATAGTTAGCGCCCGTTTTTTCACCCTCCATCTTGCCTGGTTGTTCGGCCTTTTGAAATTGCTTCGCAATTTTGTTAGGTGCGTAAGGTGTGGCGGCGCGGCACTCGCACTCAGTAATGCGCGTGGCGAGCTGACGCGCCCGCTCGACGCAATTCCGCCTTCGGCCGCTAGTTGCAATTCGATCGCTCGGTTCCCTATCGCAAAGCTGCAAACCAGCCTGGTGGGGAGTCGGCGATCGACTATAAATAGTGGCCGAGGCATAGGCCGGGCACCAGTATCAAAGACATAAAGACGGAGTGCTCGTATCTAAAAGCACGGGGAAAAAGTGAAGCCTGGTTTGGCGCTGGGTGCTTGTGTGAGTGTGTAAATGAGCGCGGGAATCCATGGCGGCAAACGGAAATTTGATTTGAACTTGTCCTCTTGATTTTTCCACATTTCTTCTTCGAAACGTAATTTAAATTCCTAAAACGAATATATTAAGAAAGTTGGGACTGCGTCTTACCATATTACATTTACTTTTGCTCGGTAACAGGCAGTGATCTCAGATAAAGTTAGTTTTTCTTCTGCTCATGGTGGTTCTGCCGGTTCAAACAGGCCGTTACAGTGGTAGATGACAGTTACTCCCAAATGAAATTAATCGGTTGACGACGGACCAAAAGTAACCTAAAGTTATACAAATATGAGTGTGTAAGTGAATTTGGGCAAAAATTAACCTAGAATACTTTGTTTCCGCAATTTTATTTTGTTCCCGCCCTACATTTGAATTTCAAACTTGTCCCGATTTCGCCGCCAATCCTATAGCCAGTAGTAGAGGTGATTGAAAAGAAGCTTCATTTTTCGCTTTTAGCGCTCCGTCTTTATGTCTTTGGTTCAAGCAAGCTCATTCAACATTTCAAACCAGGTAAATAAATTGGAGAAAAAATTGCGGGAAAGAACACCTTTGAAAGAAAGGGTATCCCTGAGTAAGGGCACCAAAATGCCCCTCCTCACGGATTTTGAATTTAATGGTCTAAACTCTTTAGGAGGTCCTAAAATCATCGTGTTGGGCAATTTTTACCATTTATCATTTATCATTTACCATTTATAATTTATCATTTGTTGCTTTTAGCGCTCCGTCTTTATGTCTTGGACCAGTATTGATCCAGATTTGAAGAAGACCCACAGTCGTAGTCATCAGCCAGACCCGTAAATATCAGGGCTGAGACCCGTACCATCACGGCTCAGACCCGTATCTCCATCACGCCCCGGACGCGTTCACAATCACGGCTCAGACCCGTATCCCCTCCCCCCTCCCCACGGCCTAGACCCGTGCCACCTCATAGCCCACTCTTAGAGCTTAGAACTGTGTATATAAATATATGTGTGAAACTCACCACAAGTGAAATATTGAATAAAAATGTAAATATGTGTCAATGAAGCCCTGGCAATTCATCATTATCAAAAAGCCCGAAACCACCCCCTTACATAATCATGAAAAAAAATCCTGAAAATTAGCGACAATGGAAGGTTAGGCCTCTAAAAATACGTAGGAAGCCATTTTTATGGCCAGTTATGAAAAGTATATTGAGACATACCAATGGTGCACACTTATGGAGGATAACTAAGGTCAAAAAACAGTCAAAAGAAGAAGAAGGCCGCTTCAAGTAGGAAAAGGCCGCTAAACATGACATCCCGGTCAATTTCCAAATCGTGGGAATCCAGGTAGAACTATACTTTTTTGATATGTTGCGTACATGGGTCAGAGCTGTTACGTACAGCAACATAAAAGTTGTACCCCACTTTCTTGAACCTTAGGCGTGGCGATTAATTAAATTTTGGCAATTTTTGGTGCTTTGGGAGATTTTTCTCGAAAATTGGGCGAAGTAGGGTAAGGATTTAGAGAACTTTTTTTGTTCATTTTTTTGCGTTATTTCCACGAACGTACACGGTTTTAAGTTTAAATTGAGTTCTTGTTTGAGTACTTGTTTAAAGTTGAAAAAAAACCTTAGAATGGGCCAAAAATGGCGACAATGAACCGTGAGGTCCCTCACAATTCATCGGAGGCCTTTTTAAAGGCCAGAACGCGAAAAAAAAAGTACATGGGAATCACCTTCGGAAATAGTAATTAGTCGAAAAATTCGATGAAAATAATTATTTATCCATTCCGATCTTTTTAAAGCGAGACACTGCTTTTTCCATTCGGTAAAATATTTGGCAGAGAGTCTACCTGGGACTAGCAGGACTGACCGAGATAAAAATAACGTCCAAGTGAGTTTCGTTCAAAGACATTGAATAGAGTAGACCGTGCGCTGTGAAATGGAGCGGTGACCACTTCTCTTCCATTCGCATGCCGCACCGACCGATGAGTGCGGGAACACCGAAACGGCACCGGTGAGGTAGTGAGCCCCAGCCGTCCCCAGCTCGCGGTAAACGAACAGTGCGCTTAAACGAGGTTGGTACGGTTCGGCTCCGAAATCTTTAATTATTAATTGATTAGTGCGAATATTTTTGGCTGATGTGTTCTTTATTTATAATCAAATGTTTCGGTGTGAAGATGTGTTTTAGTTTTCATGATTAAACACCACACAACTCTCAATTTATGGTATGCTTACATGAGCAAATTCTTGATGAACCGGGCAAGAGACAAGAATGATTATGTCCCGATGATAATTTTTAAACTTTGACTACATTTAGCCTTCAGGAACTACTATTTTTGGGTCATTTGTTTTATTACCTATCTACACAGGAAACTAATACACGACACAACAACGGATCATGAACTAATGGCACATTTTGTTCTTCCTAAAATGAGCCAGAAATAGCAGTTCTTCATTGAAAATTGTAGTCAACTTAGTGTCTTCAATTTCAACATAGTGTTGTTTCAGTTTGTGATATTTATTTGTGATAAATGTTATATTAAGTAAATACCCTCAGCATTTTGCTGAAAACATAGCATAAGTGCTGTGTTTTTTTAATTTTATAGAGGAAATTAAGGACACGATAAAAACTCATTTCATAGAATCCACTGCACTGCAATGTGCAGAAAAATTGAGGCACTGGGTGCAAGAATGACACTTCTTGGTTGCGGTGGTTCAAAATCTCTACTAATATTTCATCAGTGAAGGAAATTCATGGATTTCGTTGAAATTTCTACTGAGTTATTTTTCATGATTCTGCAATTTTCTGTGAAAAAAATCCATGAAATTTAACATTATAAACTACTCTTCTAAACAAATATGAGCGATATAGATTCTGGAACATCGTTAAAAAGTGGTGCCCTTCTCGAGCGCAGCGACTTAATCATAGAGCCACCTAAAAATGCAAAGGAATAAAGAGCAATTACTTACCCATACTTTTTGAAAATAAACAGTATCCACGATCGCCAGTCATAAAAAAGTGACTGAAGTATTGATTTTGAAATTTTTGAGCAGATTAAATAACATCAAGTTGCGACTCGCAAATTAGTTTGATAACAAGGCTTGAACATTATCTTTTTCAGTGGAATAATCTTAAATCTCCGTACTTTGAAACTGCTGAAATCGTTGCCCCTCTTTTTCAGCTTTTCATCAAATCTGTCTCTTAGATCAAGATAGACAATAGCTTTAAGTAACTCTCTCGTAACTTTTATATGCCTTTTTATGTACAATACATAACATTATTCCTCGTTCTTACCCTTGATTTATATGATTGACCTCATTTTAAATCCTTGTTGTACCTTTTACAAAATTACCTCTTATCCACGCTGTCATCTTTACAAGCTGCACGCATTATAAGAACATCCGTCTGATACGCAGGTCACTTTCCTCATATTTTCAGTCATGAAGCGTTTTTTCCAGTCAGTAATGACTGTATAGAAACGAAAATTGTTCAGAGTAATAGAAAATTTCATGCTAATAACATGTGGTCCTTATAAATGCCGAAAAATGAAGTGGAAACGAGTAATTCGCGAAAATCCGAGCGCGCAACTAATTTTTCCAAGTACGCGCAACGCCGGCTCATGCTGCGTGGGGCTCAGTCGCGAGCTCCCACCCCGCCCGCCCATTACGGAGTCCCGCCGAAGTGGCCTCGCTCAGCTGACACGGCGGAGATAGGGAGTGCACGGTGTACTCTATTCAATGTCTTTGGTTCGTTATAATAATAATTTTGTGTTCTTTATGTTTGTTTTTTTTTTGTTACAAAAAAAATATTTGGGAACTTCCAAATAAAAAAGAAAAAAAGAAGAGAATCAAACTATATTATCAGTCTTTGAAAACAGGAAAAAAATTAAAAGAGGTGCCATCTCACAAAGACCTACATACAGTAGGTCTTGTTAAATTTAATTATTATTATGATGTGCTCATATACACAATCCTTACGGAGATTGATGAGCTTTAGCAAATTATTTAAATTCAATTATTAATTAAATTATTTATTTAATAATCAAAATTAATTATTTCAACGAATTTTGACATCCATAGTTTATAGATATAACACGGTTTTTTATTCACATCTTAATGAAAAATTATGCCAGGGGCTTGAAAATTGGTACCAACACTCTTCAGGGTTAGTAGATTCTACAAAGGCGATATCCTTAAAAATGGCAGATGTTCAAAATCCGCTGGTTTCACAGATATGACTTCAAATTCTGTAGCATTTAATTTTTTACTCTCAGATCCAGGTCGATTGTTCATAAGGAAATATTGATTCTTTGTAAGTAAAAGTTTCCACCTGTCGCCGTAAGGTCAGTGGAGGATCTTTTCATCTCCAGTATAGATAACCCTACCAGGGTTTACCCTACATAAAGTCCAAGAAATGTAAAACCTTGGCTCTATTTCAGACAGCCCATGTGCTTAAGTTGTGCCAAAATAAGCACACATATGAATTGGGATATTGGTTTAAAATGAATCCTGAAGGATGGGCTGGACATTTTATTTCTACTTTTCAATTGCATGGCCACCTTAACTTTACACAAAAATACATTTTCTTTCCTTGAAAATAATGGAAAGCTACTTTTCAATGACTCCAAGAGTTGGCGATAACGTTTTAAATCTTAGGTTGTATCTGAGATTTTTAAATTTTTTAAGGTACTATACAAGACTGAATTCTTAAATTCTGGTAATACAGAACCCCCCAAAATGGAAAGGAATTTCTTCATTTTAATTTCTTATGATGCTCTTTCATGAAACATTACAGTTGTAGGTAAACGTTGTACACAGAGTGAGAAATAGAAGATCTGAATAACAACCACCTTTTGGCAACTCCATTAGAGGGAGTACTACCGCTTGCAAGTAGATTAGTCTGTAAAATATTAAATGATTTGTTATTGGGTTTCTTCCCATGTCATGTTCATGTGTAAAATACAATGGGCAAAAAACTTGTTAACACTAGGATTCAGGTTTATATTTTTGTAGCAGAGTTACTGATAAGGTAAAAAAGAAAGAAAAAGAAATAATTGTCAGAGATAAAAAATCAACTGGGCTATTGTACCACTAAAATTATTATTAGGTGCCCACAATTTAGAGGGTAGAGTGCATAAGGTATGGTACCTAATATTGGGTCAGATGACCAGAGAGAGAGGCTGCAGAGGTGGAATGAACGGTTCTACAAACATTTTTACACTACTACTTGCAGAACAAAATGTGCCCTCTTATTTGCAATCTTTTAGTTGCCCTCTTGTGTGCAATAAAACTAAAATTTCAAATAATCTGGATAGTTTTCTGATCTTTCTCATACATACTAAGTCTTCAGAGTAGTTCTAGGCACATAGTTTCAAACATTTGCAGCTTCAGGAGTCAGAAATATTGACCAGTTTCATGGCCCATTTTTACCAAGCTACTGGCCATATAATTTTTTTGGTCCATACGATGGTCTGCCTTATTTTTTCTTATCTTAACAGTTCTTTTAAATCACAGCTACAGCTTAAAACCGAAACAAAAATAATGAGCGTATTCATTACTGCTGACTGCAAAGATGAAGCGAAGGGTCTTTCGGCTGCAATCATCATCATTTTACAGACCAAAATGGCTCTTTTAGTGAACATCATAGGTGGTCAGTAGGTGAATGTAAACCTATCTGAATACAGAGAAATCTTATTCACAGACCAAATTCTCGGCGTTACAACTAGCTGTATTAGGGGATTGAATACGCTGTGCAACAGTTTCAGTTGCTGAGATAGGAGCTAACTAAGAGACTGTAATACTTGCTATCATCTTCATCATCTTTACCAGCTTTTTTTGGCCTTTTTTCTGTGTTTGTCTAGTTCTTGCCTCCAACCTTCTCTGTCCCTTCCTCCTCGATCTTGATTCGAACCTCTTCTGTTTCCCCCTCTATCACCTCCTCTTCGATCCAGAAAAGAATATCCTCCTTGCCCTGAAAAATAAAGGGTAACACTTAATTTAGAGACCACATTATACATATATGACGGTTTTTTGTTTTTTATCTCTTTAAAGAAAAAAAATTCATTACAGTTCTCATAAGGACCTCTTTGGCATCTAAACAAGGACATATACTAAGGGTCAAGTAATGATCAGTGTCTCCTCAGCAATGAATCGGAAGGTCTCTACAAAGTTATTGATCAGAGATGGGTACATTTCAGAGAAGTTGGGCCGATTTGATATCATACTCCTTTAAAGCGATGGATCAAATAAACGTGTTCAGGTCATCATACCTTATAGGTATTTAATTTTTTTTTGGTGAAAAACATTGGGGTGTATGGTATACTGCATGGGCAAGAAAGAGAAAATTGGGCCGTTTTGATATCATTTCCTTTTAAATGATGAATCCAAACGGTACTGCCATCATATTTTTGGGTGCCTGGGTTTTTTTTTTTTTTTTTGTAATTAGTGACATTTTTTGGATTGGGCCGAAATCTTGTACAAAAATCATATTTTTGTTTTTTTGGAATACTGAGTACAGGGATTGGCTGATTTTGGACTTTCTGGTCTCGATTTATCTTAAACCTCTGTTTACTTTCTGATTTTAATAAAAACAATTTTTAAAATAATGGTGAGAATCCTGCTCTCCAAATTGGAATCCCCCTTCGTTGTTGAACTCTCAAGGGTGACCGAGGGGGCTTTAGGATGACGAAAGCTGCACTCCTCCGGTCAGTCCTCTATTTGTCCTCGTGGTCTTGAACTGTGTCCGGCCTAAAATAGCCCATGCAGAAAAACTCCTGACACGTGAGGTTGAGGACACCCTGTACATTGATTGTCAAAGCCGGAAATGGTATCCATTATTTCCTATCATGCTGCAATTTTCTAGAAAATCTTCATTCGATGGGGAAAGGAGAATATCTTTACCCAGGTAAGAATTGGCTTTAGGATCTATGTTCCCAAAGTCATAGACCTATAGCCGGCTAAAAGATTTCAAATAGGTAGCATCTTTAGAGGGCTATACAGTTTCTAACAGTATTTGATAGGTGATCGCGATAAAGCCATAGCTGGGCAATAAACTGCATAGCCCGGCTATTTGATTTCTTTTGCTTCCTAAAACCATCTATACGAATTCTATCGCTTTCTGTAGCCAGATGTAAGAATTTCTATGGAATTTTGAAAGTCAGACTCCTATTGCCAATTTCAGCAGGGTATCGCGGCTCAGCCCTAAGATTCCTCCTAGAGTCACTATCTACGATCCTTCCCTCATCCTCAGCAATACGTCTATATAATTGAGGAGCTTTCCAGAAAAAGGGCACATAGCAAAAAATCGCGTTTGAGAAAAATGCATTTGATTTTAGCATCATTATTCTATGGCCATAGACTGTGGCTTACATTCGAAATTGGGAGTCCAAGCTGCGATGTAAGTTATCATCAGTGACCGGAAAGAAATGATGGAAACATAAGATGCATTTTTGTTATACGCGATTTTTTGTTCTGTGCCCTTTTTCTGAAAAGCTCCACAATTGTTCAGTCCACATTCCTGCTGTTAAGTAGGATAAGGCATGCAAAAACCGGACACTATCTGTGTACAAAATTGCTAAAACTTGTAAACTAGAATTAATTCCCATTGCGTTCAGTAATTTGTCCGTGCCTGACACTCAGGCTGAATTTATTTTTTCATCCTCACAAAATAATTGAAATAAACTTCTGTCATATAGATTTAACCGCGCCATGAATGTGTTAAGTGTTTTTCAAAGACAGTGTAGTGTTGAAGTAAACTTTTTAGTAGGCTCAGTAAGATGTTCTAATCAACCAAAATGGATTTCAACAATCAGAAGTGCACATGATTTTTCCTACCGGATATATACAAAATATTCACCCTACTTTTCAGACAGAAAACGCACGAATAAGATTTGTTTTCAGAAATTCAGAATAGCGTATTTTCTGCTCTCATCGATGGAGTACCTTCTGAGGAAAAATTAGAAAATACGTTTTGGACCATATCCTAGATGTACTCCTGACCGCTATCTCTACCACTCCAATGTACTAGATGACCACATCCGAAATCAGCGGAGTACATAACATACACAAAAATTCATTATTGTATGAAAGGTAACTTATCTACCGTTCTCACTATCTGAGCCGCAACCATGTTGGCCACCATTTTGGTTCTTAGAGAAATTTTATAGGCCTGTTTGGGTAATCAGATCTCATTTGTAGAATTTATGACCCAAAAGTCCCATGCAGGGACACCTTACCTGACGATACGAGCCTCAACAAAATACTTCACTCCGCAACGGCAGTCATTTGGCCGCCATATTGAAATTGTTGGACTTCAATAAATCTGTAGTAAAATTCTGACCTCATTGGTGAAATCTACGACCCAAAAAACCCTATGTTAGATATCCTACTCGACACTTTTACGCAACTCTCAGAGGTTTGACCCTATCGTGGACATTTTTGGCGATCATCTTGGATTTTGGGCATCTCTTTGAGCCGGAGAAAATTTTGGACCTCAAATTCGGATTCCACGACCAAAACTACATGGTGATAGACTCCTTACACGACATCAAAAGCAAATTCCAACATCTTCAACCCCGGAGCCCCCATTTTGGCCGTCATCTTGAATGGAGATGTTGCATGTGTGAGGGATTTGCGATTTGACCATTGATTCTTATGTAAAAGTTCGCGAAAAACACGATGGTGCCTCTGGTTTTCTCTGAAATCATCTCCCAAGCTCAAAGAAAGCTCTCAAAGTGAGGCCAAAATGGAGGGGATATCCCACCCTACCCTGAGAGTCCACCTCTACATCAAAACAAACTCTCCATGCAAAGATAGGGAGCAAATACATTAGCAAGGTTGTCGTGTTTTCAGTCTTGGAGTCCCCAAATAAAGTGGCAACTCTGCTAGTGTATTTGCTCCCTATCTTTGCATGGAGAGTTTGTTTTGATGTAGAGGTGGACTCTCAGGGTAGGGTGGGATATCCCCTCCATTTTGGCCTCACTTTGAGAGCTTTATTTGAGCTTGGGAGATGATTTCAGAAAAAACTAGTGGCACCATCATGTTTCTCGCAAACTTTTACATAAGAATCAATGGTCAAATCGCAAATCCCTCACACATGCAACATCTCCATTGGAAGGGTTGGACGCAAAATTTAGCTTGACAACATCAGTATTATTTTTCTGCACATCGAAAAGAAGAGATTAGGCCATTTTCTACACTTACTCCACTTACTGTTCAACGGGAGGCTTTTTTTTCAACGTATGCCCCTAGACTAATTTATGCAGGCCCGCGCTGTGCCGCCGCTCCGCGGATCGCAGTGGCGCAGAGACCTTAAATCATAGACCCATCATGTAATACATCGTTGGAAAGCTTAAAACACGTTCTTTAACTTGATACATATTTAAAGTGATATTATTTAAGCAATTTTAAAAGTTAAGTATATGGATTACAATTATTTTTTCAATACACAAAAACCGGTTTTTGTGAAAAAAACACCCTCTATATTGTCAAAATAAAAAAAATTGTAATTTTTTATATCTACCTTTAAATTATCGTTCAAACAAAATAAGCAAAATTAAATCTGTTCAGTAGATCTCGATCTATAGCAGCTCAAAGTACACGCCCGTGCGCCATTTTGAATGGCCGCCATCTTGGATCTGCCACCATTTTGAAAATGCCTCTTCGACTCGAGACTCTTAAAATATCATCTGGTTTGACCTTCTAAAGTGGTAAAACTGAATTAAGATTTGCAGCGTACTTGCACTAAGCCACCGTACTAAAGGACGAATTTCATTTTGTAATGTGGGCGCCATGCTTTGGAGCTTGCTTCCATGGCTCCTATTACAAAGGGTCCAATTTTGGGGTTTGTTTCTCTCACTACGTATACTGATACCTATCTTCAGATCTGAGAATTTTAGTTTCTTCTCAGCTTCCTACTTCGTGATATTCCTGTTTCCTGTAAAAAGGGATTGATAAGCAGGTATGTTTGTCCCATCATATGCTGGATGGTGTCAGGCCCATTTGCTTCTAGAGTTCATTCAGTTCTATTATCGTGTGCAATAATCTCCATGTTTCAACCATACTCCTTCCTTTAAGGGATTTCATAAACTTACCTCTAGAGCCTCTGTCAGATGTCCTCTGACTCCAACTAGGCATTTCAGGTGGTGGTGCCTGCTGCTCATTTGGTCTTCCCCCTCGATCTGGAACCTACACAGAAGAGGGATTGTAATAAGTCTTAGCCTAGGCATATACATCGTTCATGACCATGATGGAACTTGGACAACCTAAAAGCGACACACTGAGAAAGGTCAATTTCAAGAATGGGACTTGAACTCGATTACATTTTGCAATAAGAAACTGTTATTTCTGGCTGATCCATAAGAAGAGCCTCTCGTAAGGGGAGACTAGTAGCACAAACGTTGTTTCTAAGGCTTTGTCTCTATGGGACGTTTTTATTAGATTTGTCCCAAGGTCGAATCGAGGGGGGATGAAACTTCAGGGAATTCTCGCAGCTACCGTCTCCACAAGACAGGGGTTTGACGAGGGTCATCCAAAAAGTAATGTTCCCTACCGTGTATCTTACGAACGAAAGAAATAAATCAAATTGGTAAATAGACACGTATTAGGCATACTTTCAGCTTTAAAACAAGCCCAAATTTTTGAATATCGGTCGAGGGATTTGCGAGAAAACTTAATTTTACTGAGACAAGCTCCTGTCGCCGCGTGCCACAATGGGCCAGATAGTGTACGTAGCGGCGCTTAATTCATAACTCCCACTAGATCAGACATATCGTTCAAAACATGATGATTCCTACGGTAATTTGATCTGCTCTTTCCAAATTTTGTGTCAAAAAAGCCGGCAAAAATGTCTGAATATAGGTTTTGAACGTCGAAAGCCCAAGAAATTGCTCCATAAAAAAGAGGATCTTGTGCTTCTTATAAAATGGGGGAAAAACACAATCATCGAACAAAAAAATGTAATCTTATCATCAATCCTTGTAATTCTATTAAAAGGAGAATATTTTCGCTTTTGCAGATCCCAAAAATATTGAGTTTTAGCAGCAGGGCATGAGATCAAACTTGCCCGAAAAATAAGCTTTAAAAAATGAATTTTTCAGAATACTGTAGACTGAGAAAGTGTCATTGCGGTTCGTTGCGCGGTTCTCTTTGGTATTTTTAGAAAGAATATATCCTAGAGATACCATATACCAAAGCACAAATGGTACAAACCGGCACAACCATATTTTTCGGATGCTTCTTTGAGGTGACCTCCAATTTCCGCGAAAATCGGATATAGGGGTTTTAAGGAACCACGATACATAGTAAAGCGGCCAATAGAATAATTCAACACAAATTCATGTTTTAAGGGTTTTTCAGGTTTCCAATAGCATTTCTCGCTCTTTCGATACTGTAGGGTGGAAGGAGGGGGAGGGGGAGGCCGACCAAAATCAGATGGTCAAAAATTTGTTATGGTCAACAATTTTCTTGAGCCCAGTAAATAATGATAAATCTTTTTACATCCATTCACACATTCAGCCTAAATAGGACTGGTTTTAAACCAATTTGGCGATGAATAACTAAGAGACTTATCCTCTCGACTGGGAAAACCTCAGAGCACCTTAAGACTTTATGCAATCTAGGACACAATGAGTTTATGAAATAGCCATAGGGTGTCCCAATTCTAAAAAAGCATTACAGCATTAAAAATTGAAGAAAAAAACTGTGATAAAAATAAAATACTTGCAATAAACTTAACCTCTTCAAACGCTGAGTATTTCCTACTCTTTGAAGCTATAATGGATGGTAAAATTTTCATATTAAAACAGCCATTTGAAAACGTTAAACAGAAGGGTAGGGCTACTATTGCCCCCAGAGCCACAATTACCCCTGCTTACACTCAGACTTTATTGTTAACTTGAAAAAAATTTACGAAATGATACTTTCAGACTTTCCAGACGGTCAAAATAAAACTCAAGACTATTAATAACCTTGAAATAATTGTTAAATTGTTACATAAATGAGTGAAAATAAATACAATGCATCTTAAAAAATTTAGCAGTTTGGGGGTGCTTGAAAAGGAGACAGGAGTTGACAAACACTTTTGAAATCTCATATTTGTCATTGAATACGTGATGGGAAAAAAATGCCAGAGCAACCATTCGTAATTCTTCGATTTATTTGGGATATAGATACCGAAATAGATCTTGAGGGCCTTTAATACAAATTGGTCACATAAGATGCAGAACATCATACTCCGATAGTGCTGATGTTACAGCCTTAAACTAACAAAATACAACTCTTTTAATACTTACATTACCAATTACAACTTTGTTCACAGAGGATTGAGTACCCATTCTAACTGTCATAGAGGAAGTTTTTTCGAACAGTGCCAATTCTTCTCCAGCAGAGAGAACATTTGCCAATTCCATATTGGGGTCTGCTTTCAATCTCTGTCGCACTGGATAGTATACAGAGGCTATAACGTCTTCTCTTCCAACGATTCTTTCGGACCACTGTAAAGGAGACTAAGGCATTAATTTAGATGTAAGGAGACCGTATGTGAAAGCCCAAGAGCAGTTAATGGTCGTCCCTTAAGCCGCTCATTTTCTAAGTAGCTTCCGAAGGAGCTGTTTTATGTTTCATGGACGTTCCTTAGATCCTCCCTTCTTTAATTGAGGACCATGCCGGAAGAAGGACTCATCTCGAGATCCCTTTATTCAGCGGTCTATTTTTCTGATTCTACGTTGTATAGTGAGTGTATCCTCCAAGTTTGAGAGAAATCTGTCGATTTGTAGAGTGAATAATGACCCTTGAAATACAATACAGGTATGCCCTTCTTCCGACCGACAGGCCTTTCCACCTGACTAACACATTTAAAATAAAATAAAATAAAATAAAACCCAAAATATAAAACCAAGATTAAGTATTTTTGACCTCCCAAATATCACAGTAAAGCACTTAAACGCGTTTTTTAGAATCTACTATAAGAGGAAAACGAAAATTTCAGGCTTAAATCTCGTGTTTTGATACTTGGCAACACAGTGAAACCCATCTTGGGCAGTGCAAGGCGGGATAGAAATTAGTAAGACAGAATCTAATATGTTCAATTGGTAACAGATTGAAATGTGTGAAAATATGATGAAATAATGTAATGAATAATATATGTGTGTGAAAATATATATATTGGACATTAGCAAAGTAGGGGTACAGAAGAATATATTTAATAACATTTAAGTGCTACACTAATAAAACTGCTCCTTGTGCTTGAAGGTTCCTACAGTCAATGAGGAACAACAGCGAGATATATTAGTTTTCAAACAAAAACAATGTACTTACTTATATTATTCATATGCAATCGGAAAAATTTAGTTTTTCCTGCAAATAATTGACGGATTTGAAAAAAAAAACTTTAGCTCATTAGAAAGCTGAAGAGATTCTGCAGGAACAAATTTCTTTGATTTGCTTTAAATTAATTTATTCACGAGATACAAAAGAAGGAAATTAATTTGATAGTGAAGTTAGTATCTTAAGCATTAATAAGCGCGCCCGAAAAAAACCTGATTTCTCTGCTACCAGTAACCCAGCCTTAAATAACTTAGGCTCGTTGGAATGCTGAAGTGTATTTGCAAGAAAAGCTTTCTCCGATTTCATTATTTTTCATTACATTTCGAGTTATTAAAAAAACGATCCTTATTTTTTTATCTTCCATACAAGGATTTCGAAAGAGGGGCCCATTTCTGGCTTTCTTGGTCTCATGATTACAGAGGGTAAATTAATTAATTTTTCAAAATTGTAAAAAATTTCAAAACTTTAGGATCTAATTTAAGAGAATTACTTTTGGTTTAACCGATTGGTTCATTCAATTTTTAGGCCCACCATTTCAAACTTTTAAATGCATATTTTCACCAATACTCAACCTTATGCATACGCTTTTCTTCTGGTATTGTCTTCCATTAAAGAAGGGAGGTTTTAAAAGCTTGTTGGCAGCTGTTTTTGTTTCATAGACGTGCTTTTTCGTAAAATCCGAGGAGACCCAGCTTTCCTTTCTACCAATGTTAAGGTAGCTCTGAAGCTACCTTAGTAGTTACAGAAGGGCGGGCAATTACCATTAGATCTTGACACTATCGAAATCAATGCGCAGGCAAGAATACTTTAAAGCTTCAATACCCAGCGATTAAAAATTTAATTTTTTTTCTTTCTTAAAAAGTGTAAACTCTTTACATCCTACTATTCCCGTTGCTTAATTTCCCTGTCATCCTAATTTTACTTCTCTGTTTCCTTCTACTTCAAAATGTGTGTACACTTTTCTTGACACCTCAAAATTGCATGTTCAGACTCACTTCAACTACCTTAAAGTATTTTGAAAAGAAGGAGGTAATAACTCAAAGTCAATAATATAAGTCCATTATGTCGAATGAGCGAACCTTTTACAGGGTGAGCGAAAAGTCCCCGACCCTCCCCCTCTAACTTTTGAACGCATGCTTGTATCGAAACGAAATTTTGGGGATGCTCCTAGATCAATAAGAGCTACTTTTTGGCACATCCAAAATTTTGGGGGGGGGCGCTTCCCCCGCGAGGGGCGCACACTAACTCGAAATTTTCAAATTGTAACCCCTCTCTTGTGATACATCGTTGGAAAGGTAATAAAAAAAGAAACTTTTGGGCGCAAACCGGAGGTCGCTACGACTTTTCGTTCTCGAGTTATTCTCGGTCAAAGTTTAAAATAGGCCAGTTTTCAAAAAATCGTAAGTCCGGTTCAGAAAGGTGCAGAAATGCAAACGAGGCGGCAAAATTCTCGACATTGCATGTGCTTTCAGAAAAAAATCGTCGAAAACCTTATCGTCTAGCCCACGCGCCTAGAGAGATTTTAACCCCCCCCCCTCCCGCGATTAACTGTCTTTCTTGCGGGAGGGGCGGCAAGTTCACTCGAGGCGGAAGTAGGTACCTTTTTGAAGGTAACTCAGCTACCTGACGGAGCCCAGACTATTTGGGGGGGCGGCACTCCCCCCTCCGCCGCCGCACCCCCTCCCGCGGNCCCCCCCCAAATAGTCTGGGCTCCGTCAGGTAGCTGAGTTACCTTCAAAAAGGTACCTACTTCCGCCTCGAGTGAACTGGCCGCCCCTCCCGCAAGAAAGACAGAAAATTTCGAGTTAGTGTGCGCCCCTCGCGGGGGGAGCGCCCCCCCAAAATTTTGGATGTGCCAAAAAGTAGCTCTTATTGATCTAGGAGCATCCCCAAAATTTCGTTTCGATACAAGCATGCGTTCAAAAGTTGGAGGGGGGGTCGGGGACTTTTCGCTCACCCTGTATGTAGTGGAATATTTACTTTTAGATTAATTTCATGAAACTAAGAGGTGAATTGAACTTTCTGGATTTTACGAGAGTTGCTATGGAAGTGTAGTGGGATAGTAGCATATTTTTTTTTTTTTTTTTTTTATCCGATTTCTAAAATTTTTAGGTCTACTGAGTAATGAGGTTTTCTTTGAAAAAATTCTGGTTACCAGAACTTAAAGTAACTTTATAGGGAGAGTATGGACAACTCGAGAATTTGGAGCTTAGGTTTGATCAGGTCATGTAGCTCTTGGGATCTTTCCGACTAGCGACTTGGACGGTCAACCGTTGAAATTCGGCGGTTAACCCCGAATCTCCATCGGGGCGGTGCGTGATCGGGGATCGAGCTTAACGTTTTCATGTAAACAACGAAGATGGCGGCACATTGTGCGCGGGTGTTTTGAATTTACAGATTGCGAGCGAGATCCACCCCCTTGAACGGACCACGTACTTAATTAACATTTAAATATTGTTATCATCAAGTTAATTTTAATGCCTGATGGTCGAGTGAAGGACGTTTCTCTCGTGAAGAAGACTCTGCAGTGTTGCTGTTTATCATTGCATTCTAGGAGAGAAAAGACAGCAGCCAGAAGAATGAGTCTTCAGCAACCATCCTCAGCATCCATTTCTTTTTTCCAAAGATTTTTCATAATCATCACTTATCAGAGATGCGAAATGAAATTTAATAGTGCATGAAAGTTCACAGACTTCTCAGTAGTAGTGTATGCCACCCGCAAAATTATCTCAAAATGAACTATAGGGTTTGACTCTCATTTTGTTAAATATTGAGATTTTATTGATTCTGCGCATTTCATGGCCTACTAAGTATATTGCAGAAGTTCTACAAAATTTCATGAAATTTTAGAATACATGAAATTGCATACAATTTTGCATATCTATTCATTATGCAGCCCATTCAGCACGTATCGAGACTGAAGCTGCTTTAAAAGTGTGAATTATACTAGCAGGAAAGGGGTTGGTCCCCTATGAGGAACATATTTTCCCAAATTAAAATTTATCGGAGGGAGGAGTAAAATTAAAATTTCCATCTTTCAATCACAATGAACAATATTGGTTAAATATTGCTGTTTTTATTAGGTACTCTTCATTAGAGCTGATCATCATTGTTTCATCATTTAAATTGACGAAGATTCTGTTTCAGAGGGTAAAAATTATCACAGATCAGGCAAATAGGGATTGTCCCCTCCGCCCTTATTAAGTGAGAGTACTAACATTTTTCTGGAACAATTTTGGTCAATTTCAAGGCTTTATCATTGATTGTCAGCAGCGCCGAACTCCCTCCCCGCAGGCACAAGACCTCTCCTGTTAGATTTCCGGAGTCCAGCTGAAATAACACAGCTAGGTACATTGAATCATTCAATCTAATCTTTCAAATCTACGTTTAGTTTTACATATGGTAGACTTCAGACTTCAATACTTGTCTAATACGCATTTGCAAACATTTTTTTTTTTTTTTTTTTTTTTTTTTTTTTTTTTTTTTTTTTTTGTAACGATCTTCAAAACACCAGCGTCATTGTCCGGTGGATTTTCCATCAGAGTCTACAAACTTTGACTCATTACTGATCAATTTCTCTGGAATATCTAGCATACATGGTTAAAATGTAGATTATACTTTGCAGGTCTTCTAGATAAAAATAGGTAAATCGAAGCAGCTAAATCAAATATAATTGTAACATTTCTCGAAAAAATGCATTCTACGTTGAGCCTAGTTTGCTGCTGACCTTGAAAGAAGCATGTGGACTTTAAGTCTGGCTGTGGTATGAGAGGCTGCGCAACAGAATCAAATGATTCTTTTGAGATAAATTCCTTAACTCTGAACTAGAAAAGCCATTGATTCAGCAATGTTCTGACACCAACACAAATAAAACAATCAACCTCACAGGCAGCATGCGTCAGAGGTATTTGTGCATTTATCCTCTCTCTGTTATTGGAACTTGGTCTTGAAAATACTGAAATAGTGGTTTATACTGCTGAAAGCAAAGGAATTTGTTGGATGTTCAATGCTTTGCGCAACTATTTACACACTACGGCAAGAGGCTGGTGTTACCTTAGACGCATCAACGAAGAGGTATCACAAACAACATCGAAGTTAAAAGTTACAAAATCAAGCAGCGCTACTACATTGAAAGTTCTTGAAAGTACTAGATATTCATACCAATGAATCAGAAGTGTTCGGAGACTTCTATAAGTAAATTCCGGTGGAAAACCCACTCCATGAAGACATCAGTACAATGAACAAGTGGAGTGAAACAGTTGCAAAAAGCAAACAAATACTTACGTTTGCGTGACGGTGAGCTTTGCTTATTAAGGCTAAAATGGAATGATTGAAACGATTTAAATTGAATTAATTTGGAATTAAAATACTATAACCGATCAGCACACGACACTTGGTGGTGCCGTGGTGCCGTAAACAAAACAATTATGACGGCGGTCCGTCACAATGTTGAGAGAGCCGAACCCCCGAAAACGCACCGCCACAGTGGAGATTCGGGGTTAACCGCCGAATTCCAACGGTTGACCATCCTTGTCGCCAGTCGGCAAAACCCTAACTCTTGGGGCCTAAAAGGGGAGCCAACCTAGGAACTCGAATTATCCAGTGGTACTAATTTTCACATTTCAACTATTTACACTGATCAAAAATTATAAAAACACTTATAAAACTTTTATTTCGCTTACATTTCCTCAGTTTCGAAGTTTTAATCCTTAAAGACGCTGGTTCGTAATGCACTGTTGGCCACATTGAGTGATCTGCCAAATGCATAGGTTGGCAGCGGCACTTTTCTAGTGATTTTCGTTTTTCCTGTTGTTGCCCTTCTGGGCCCTTGGAGCTACATAAATCGAGTTGTTCATACTCTCCCTATAAAGGTACTCTACCAGAACTTTGAGAAAAAGCTCCCCAAAGTCAGAGGCTATTTGAAACGGGTCCTTTCCCCAGCTTCGGAACTAGTGCCACTGTGACGTCACATGGTATGTATCCAGGTTCACCTTATGTCAAATACGTGTTAATACGGTCGTTTCAAAAATTCTCGAAAAATCGAGTTTTTCGTCTAGACTTGATTTTTTTGTCTTGATGAAAACTTCAGGATACAAATAATAATTTCAAAACGATATAAAATGCTTTCTTTGGCTTCTTGATCACTCTAAACGTCTTCGGCCTTTGCCTTGAGAATGTTACCGTGGACCAAACTCCAGGTTCCTGGAGAATTGAAGATGAGTTGATACCCAAGGCAAATCCGGTCCGGCCTCTTTAAGAGCAGCCAAGTTGTGCAGATTGAAGAAAAGTGTAAAACACAAAAAAGTGTGATCCTATTGGTCTCCTGAAAGATCCGACTACAATATAATAATAGACTTAAAAAAGAAGGGGACATGGAAACAAAAGAGTCACAAGGCAGAGCATACCATGAAGGATTTCACAGTAACATCAAGCCTTTTCAGTAACATTTTTCTTCGAATTTTGTACTCCAACTGTAATTCTGAAAAGATTTCTGCGATCCGATCCCACTGGTGAATAGAGACTTCTCCGCTAAATAAAGGTTTAATCACTAGATCTTTTGGCACATTCTCTAGAACAATCTTTATCTGAAAGAAGATGCACAAAAGGATGACAACATTAATGAAAGTAAAGAAATTAAACGGCCTGACTGTGAGGTGTCATCTCAGCCATAAACTAGTAGTTCATTCAAAAGCAGTGAGTGGCTTATCAGAGGTCAAAATGAAGATTTTAGACAAGATCATTATCAAACACTGATAGCTAATGAGTCTGAAACTAGTCTCTGGTGTTCTCTGAAAATTGGGCATTAATGCCACTTTATTTTTCAATTTTGAAGTAGTCATAGTAAAGTTCTGATGCCGATCGACGGCTAAGCTACGTTGCCGAACTAGAATTTGAGTGGAATTAATGCTGGTAAGATTTTTTTTTTTTTAAATTTTTTTTTCTTTTAGTATACTAGTTTTGCTGTGTGGATATGAATTTTTCAAATTTTAAATAAGAAACAAATAAAACATATTACGGTACAGTGCACACAAATTATTGTATGTAAACTGACAGAAAGATCATACAATAAATCTTTGAACACTGCCCAGACACCACACACCAGAAATTTAATTGCTTTCATTTTCAAACAGTGGTGCAATTCCATTTTATAACACCCATTTATAGAGAGAAACAAACTATTACCTTTCCCTGAATTTCTGAAAATAATTTTTCAGGAGAAAGTCTAACAGGAACAGACACTTTCAGAGCGCTCAAACATGTTTTCAAGTCTTTGGCGGTTGAGGACTCCTCCTACAAAAAAAAGAAAAAAGAAGATTAAAAGTTTAGAATATCCAGTTACGAAGGCAACTGAAGAACAGTGGGTACACCCCAAAACTAAATTTTTTCTTTGGAAATTGCCACAGTAGTGGATCATACTGGATGATGAAAAAGTTACTTTGACCAGTAGGGTCCTTTTGGATTCTTGTCACATCCAAAAAAGCTGTTGTTGAAGACACCCACTAAGTATTTTTTCCACAAGTTGTATCACGTTTAGTAATCAACTAATTATTCTACAGGGTGTCATAGAGCAGCCGTACCAGGCCTTTTTCTTGGTTGATCTAGGTCGAACGAAGTCGCGGACTGCGGGGGTTTAATTAGGAATCGACCCCAAGGCATTCGAATTTCATGGTCTCGAGAAACCTCCCCCCCCCCAGCTCCCCTTGGGGGGTAAAGGGGGGGGGGGGGGGGGGGGGTCACGATTCTAAAAGTCGAGGTTCTCGGTTGAATTTCGATTCGATTTCATTAGAATTGAAAAGCACGGAAAATTTCGCATGAAATCGATCCCTAAAAATCCAAAATCGGACCCTTTTACGTCCAAAAATGATCCCTTAAAGAAGGGGACAGCAGCCCCCTCCATAATTTCCCTTTGGTCAAAAATTAACGCAAATTCTCCGGATGAAGATGGTTCATCAGGTAATCGACCCCAAGGAATCCGATTTTTGTGGTCCAGAGGTCCCCCTAGCCTCCCATGGGGGTGTAAAATGGGGAACACAATTTTCCCCGACTTATGAAATTTTGCCTTCTCCATTTACCCCTCAAGGGAGACTAGGGGGGTTTCGAGATCATCAAAATCGGATTCCTTGGGGTCAATTACCTGGTGAACCATCTTCATCCGAAGAATCCGCATCAATTTTTGACGAAAGGGAAATTATGGAGGGGGCCGCCATCCCCTTCTCTAAGTGATCATTTTTGGACGTAAAAGGGTCCGATTTTGGCTTTTAAGGGGTCGATTTCATGTGAAACTTTCCGTGCTTTTCAATTCTAATGAAATCGAATCGGATTTCGATCGAGAACTTCGACTTCAAGGATCGTGACCCCCCCCTTTACCCCCCAAGGGGGGGGGGGGGGGGGTGGGGGGGTTTCATCTTGCTTTCAATATTATTCCTACCTTTACATACTTTTAGGATGTAATTAGGATTGACTTAGATATCAACATATTCATACCCTCAACAGAATTATGGTAAAGAGAAGAACTTCATAGAGATAAAGACCATGTTAGATGGTTTTTTTCAAAGCTTGGAGGTCAAACAGCTTACCAAAGTGACCATAAAATTGGTTGATTCAGAGGAATTCCTCGCAATTATTCGAGAGGCAAGTAACTCAGTTGCTAAATAATCTAAAAGCAGTATTCTATCAGAGGGAGACTGGAATCTGTCGTTTAAATGCCCTTCAGTCAATGATTTGTACTGACAACCTAAAAATAAAAAAAAGTTGCACTAGAGATCTCACGTTAATAATAAATGTTTTCAGAGGAGGTGCCTGGCAGGAAAGGAAAGGTCCACAAATCATGGCACAGCAAGAGATATTAAAACCTGGTAGCAGGAGGCAGAGGCTGTATTTCATGGTGAATATTACAGCCTCTGGTTATGTTTGAATTACTTTTTGGTGTGTTTGCCTTGCTGCGCAAAATTGTGATAAGAAAAAACTGGGGAAAGAAGGCGTTCAACAAAGACAGGAGCAAAGGAGATGCTTGAGGAGGGAGGGGAGCACTGCAGACCATGCAATTGGAACGTACAATCTATTGGTGTACATGGATATTGGTCCACTTTCTAATTGTGATCGGTTTGTCATTTATCTTTCATGAGTCTGCTTGTGGTGAACATCTCATCAGTATATTCCTTAAACATTTTTTTAGATTCATTTCCTGGAATTTTAATAAGTGATTGGCAAGGGTCGCTGGCCGCGAAGTCCCTGGATTCTGAAATTATTTCCAACTTTGAATAAGAACTAATCAAAATCGAGTTTGATCATTTGAATCCTGGCCCTCCATCTCTCACATTTGTGATCAAACCAGAGAATTGACCCTCGACATTGCCACCTTCCTTAAAAGACCTCTCCAAAAGCGTGATTCTAGCCATTTCCAGAAAATTAACAGCCTAACTCAAAACTATCCTGTCGAAGGGTATTTACACAAGTCACGGTGGCTCCAAGATACATTTTAATCTAGCTTGAAAATATATGCTAATACACCTTGGAAGATTGAAGTTGAGGATAGAGTTTCTCACCTAATTGTTTCAAAAAACAGCTTATCTCCAGCAGGAATGCGCTTGAATCATCCTGGGATGTGATAGCATTAACATGTTCATTCAAATTACCGAGTTGGTTTAACTCTGTTGATAACCATTCGACCACTCGTGAGTAGCTGACAAATTTGGATCCATCTTTTATGACTTCTGTCACTAAGGAATCACTAGCTCCTGGATATCTATCAAATAAGAAGAAGATAGTATAAGAGCAGTAGAGGCTCGATAATCTGAGCACGCATTAGCCATTTTGCCAATCACACAAACTATTTAACAAATGAGGACTTATATGATGTAACAACTAGCAGGAAACCCGTGCTGCGCACAGGAAAACCCCACCATCAGCAATCACTGTGATTAGTGATCAGTTACTAATTGTGTTTCTGAATTATTATCTACTATTTCAAAATTGGCGAGACGCACTGGTTTGATTAAAAAGTAGAGATTAGCAATATGCTGCTATTTTGGTCCGTTCTGCAATAAGCTCACATGATAATTATAATAATAAAAAATACCCAATCAAAAGTTGGTTATTTTCATGAAGATTTGTTACTTCTGTCAGTTCAATGTTCAATTGAAGTTAGCTGGTGAGTTTCAGCCGCGAAAATTACGGGATTTAACCAGCGGTTTCGTTTAATTCACAGCAATGGCGGTTTGTCATCTACATCGCGGAGAAAACTTGATTTTTCCAGGGATTTTGTAAAACAAATTAGAAATTACACGATAATCACCACGGTATCACGGCAAATACGTCGGGTTCCTAGCGAATTTTTAAGATCATTACAATTGCGCGTTATTCACATCAATATCGTGGCATACACGCGAATTTCTGACTCAATTAAGACTACGTAAATGTGCGCATAAAACTCATAAACATCTGTTACTTGAGATGGGCGAAAACGTATGATTTTCCTTCAATTTTGTATGATACCACATACCCACTCCGGAGTTCAAATAGTTGCTCGCTTCAATTCTGCTTGTTAAAAGTGACGAATTGGAAGAATCCAATCTAAATTTCACGAGAACTATGGGATGTAACCATCGGTTTCCCTATTTAAGATTTAATGTTTTGAAATTAAAAAAAAAAAAAAAAAAAAAAAAAGAGCATTAGCGATGATTTAAAATTTTGCAAGTAAGACTCATGTGTTTCGGTTCCACGATCGGAGTCAAATATTGATGAAATGCGCGCGAAACCCCCGCTTCTCCTCCGATTGAAGCGTTGCACACCGTCTTTATGTTCCATTTTTATTTATTTATTTTATTTTTGAAGCCAAGCAACAGCTTCTCTCATTTCCCGAGAATTTGCCTTAATCATTTCAAAACAAGATAAAAGTAACAAAAAGTAACCCCAGGCGACGTGAAGACTAAATCACAACAATTTTTTTACTTTCGAACTTGAGCAGGTAAATTTTTTCAAAAAAAAAACAAAAACAAAAACAAAACGAAACGAAAGGTTCCGCGGAGCACATTTTTCACTAATCTTGCAAAAAAAAAACGGAAGGAAACTCGAACCAATGCGCGAACCAATGCGTCGCGAACCAATGCCGTAGAATGAAGAGACTACGTCAGTCTCTTTATTCTATGCCGATGCATAGACAGATTTTCCAGATTTTCACATCCCTGAGAGAGTAGCCCGGCAACGGATGCACGAGTCGGAGCTCGCAACAATCATGGCGCGGCGTTTCCAACAGCGCGACGCCGAACTCGTTCCATCTTCCTCGCACTCGTTGGACGCTTAACTCCTTCCATCTTCCTCGCACCCGTTGCGCGTACCAGAAGAACACACGTAAAATTTATCAGCTGTCTTTCAGCGCGAAACGCGGAAATCGCTCCATCTCGCTCGCACTCTCTCTCGCACCCGTTGTCCTTACGGGAAAATCGACCCACGCGGACCGCGATATCCCGCGAACCGGCGGGCGGATCGCGAAATCCTCCCTTATCCGGCGCCTCGGGGTAGAGAGGGATCCCAGTGCGGAATCTCAGGGTCACACGGCCTCCCGTTCACGAGATCCGCTGATACGTGAGTCAGTGAGTGAGTCAATCAACGTGAAGTCTGCTTTATTAGTATAGAAGATAGATAACGGATGTCGAGTTTTCACATTGCGAGAAAATCGCGTTTGAAGTTTTTGAAGCTTTGCACTTTGCTACCCAGGGAACCGAGAGGATTCTAATACAGATTTTCATGAAGAGCAACTCTTCCTGTAAAAAACACACGTTTTACGATCTATATATAAGGGAAAAATTGAAAGAGTATCAGCAAATTGAAAAAAATGTGACATCCGCTATTTTTACTGAAAACATTTTTTTGAGCATGAAACAAAGTCTTCAGGAGGGGTAAGGATGGTGAAACGATGGAAATGAACCAAAAGTATGTCAATGCTGAGTCAGTTGATAAAATTGAACAAAAAACTAAACTGTCTGTAATTTCTACAACAAAAATAAGGAACAAATTATAAAATCAGTTAAACACTCATCAATTCTGGCTAGACGGTCCAGATACGAATCATTTGAGTATCAGCTGCAGCCCATGGCCGGCGCACAGACAGTTCAAGTGCATTCGTATCTCCATGGTGTCCTGTCGTGCCAGCCGGGGAGAACAGTGGATTCTCATATCCGCTGTTGTTACAACTAACATGGTTTTCAGTCCATATCTCGCCGAAAAATTGCTCAGTAATGAATCGTTTCCCCAAGGTCAAACAAAATGTGGTAGATGCAGAATTTCATGGAGAATCACCTCAACTGGATTTCATTCACGTAGTAACGATCGCCTGGAGAGGAGAGACGAAAAACGAAAAAAAGTCGAACCTTCAAAATCGAAAAAAATCGATTTATGACTACAATAAATTAGGCAACCATGCAAACAGCATCAATATTCTTGTAGAGAATATGTTATAACATTTTTTAGCGCAAACCGCAACACTTACACTCAAACCGTTCGCGAGATATCGATTTTTGAGGTTTTGAAAAAATTGCAACTTTGCCCCCCTGCCCCCTAATTATCCGAGGGGGCTGAAAGAGGTTGTCCCATTTTCCATAGGAAATGGCCGAAAGAGTTTTTCCATCCATACTTTCAGGAATCATAACGTATCATCGGAGAACCTTAAATCCGGTGTCATTTCTCGTCTAGCCCCCCAGGGAGAGGGAGGGCAGGGGGTCAAAGGTCAAACGCTCCGACAGCCATTACTTTTGAACGAATCATCGGATCAACTTGATCTTGGGCTCAAATGAAAGCTCTTGACGAGACCTTTCATTCGATGTAAGTAATGTCTATCTTTGGCAACTTTTTAACGTAAAAAAAATCATTTTTTGATTTTTCAATCCCAAAAAATTAAGTTTTTCGGGGTTTTCTCTTGAAGGGAACGCATGAATCATTACAAAAACCAATGCAAATAAAAACCCTTGATTCAAGCTTTAAAACGAGCTATCGTTGAACTTGGGGAAATGAATGGTTCAAAAGTTATGACCGTTCAAAGTTGGCGTGGCGCGCTATTTTCAAAGCGCGCGGAGTGTATACTCGCGTGCCACCCCTCCCTACCTTTTTCCCTGGGGCCCCGCTTCAGTTGATAACGGATACAGAAAGGTCCAAAGCTCCTTCCACCTAAAGAATGACCAATCATTAGTGTTAAATTATTTTTATTTCTAACAATAACAAAAAAGGGAAATAAAAATACATTAAATGCTAATAAACGATAAGACGCTGGCATACATTATTTTTTCGCTCCCCCCCCCCCATGATTTAATATTTAATAGCCAAATCAAGCTTCTTTTACCGCAAAATACACTCAAAAGCTGTAGATAATATTCATAGGGTGTGGTACGCAACTAGCCGACCAGCACTTGAAAGTCACATTTACTACTGAATAAGTCTCTCTCACCTCTCTCCGATCTATTTCCCTCTCATCAAGATTTACCTACACGGGAATAATCAGATACCGTAATGATGTGAGGCTTCCCAACCATGCAGCTAGCCATTCGCTTGAAATGGGGGAACCTATATGAGGATAAAAAAATTGGGGGAGCCTTGGGAGGTTTGTTTGTTTGTTTATTTTTTTTTAGGGTTTAGGGGAAACTTGACTGTTGAGTGCGCTACTTTGAGGGAACCTAACTGTCAAGCGTGCGATTTAGGAGGGTACAAAACGTTCAAGCACGCTGCTTTGGGGGGAACCAAACCAAGATCAATCCACACAGGTCAGTCATTCCCGAGGACGAGTTTTGGTACTCTACTGCGCAATGACGCAGTATTGAGTGCCAGCAATGTATTTCTTATGGGAGCACCTAATGTGACGTAGCATTGAGTGCTGCGAGTTAGGGCCGGGCGGGGGAGAGAATTTCAAAAAAGCTGCCTAATGACTGACCTGTGTGGATTGGTCTTGAACCAAACTGTTGACTGCGCTGTTTTGAGGGAACCCAACTGTCGACCGCGTTACTCTTTGTATCTGACAAAATTCTGCGAAAACTTAAAATGGGGGAACCTAAATTTACTTTAGGGGAGCCCTCGGTAGTGTCTGCACCCCTGCAGCAATTACTAACACACTTTCACACGATTACTCATGTGGCCAGGAATGCTCGGTAGTAGGGATGGACGAATATCGAATTCGAATATTCAAAACTTTTCGAATGCGAATATTTGAGAATTCGAAGCTTATGATTGCGAATAGTTCGGATGCGAATATTCTCAATTGCTTCGATTTTTTATTTTTTTTGAACCGTGAGAGATAAAATGACACTTTTGACTGCAATTATTCGAATATTCGAATTTGCGATTTGGAATACTTCAGCAGCGAATGTTCGAATGTGATGCGATTATCTCGGTGCCGATGATTCGACAATCGAATATCTAAATATTCGACCATCCCTACTCAGTAGGAATTGGTGCAATGCAACTGCCTAATATAGATGTACATACCCAACTTTCGTCAGCACGTCGGCAACTTCAGTTTCCATGGAGGAGAAATCGAAAATTTGAGAAGATATCTTGGGACGGGAAGATGGTTGGCAATACGTGCCGGAAAGAAAGACTACACTACTACTTGTCTGCAAAATTGACAAGAGATGATTTGATTTGACAAGGATTGGAAGAACCACAGAATATATAGGCTTCACCAACAGAAGGTTCACTCCCGTAAACTCCAATGTATCACTGTTTGTACTTTCCGGCTGTCTGCATTGTTGTCAAATGAGTGCAAGATTGCCAACAATTACAATAAAGTGAACGGCGGTTTATTTGAATTGACGCTTCTCAAATGGGAAATCGAATCGAGTTTTGTCGAGTTTAATTATACGCAACGATAATAATTTTAATGAATCAATTGATTTTACTCTCATTAAAATTAATCCATGAAAAAGATTCAACGTGTGTTCATTAATATGGGCTGATTGTGAAATGATCAGATGAAATGATGACTTAAGGTGATTCGTCAAGCTCAAAAGAAGTGGTCGAACTGGCATGCGATATATCGCATCTTTTAGGTCAAAAATCTCGGCAGATTTTGAATTTTCAGTAAAGAAAAGGACGATAGCCCCTGCGCATGAGCCTAAAGAATCATTCTAAACCCAAAAATCGGCAAAATTCAGAGAAATGAAAGCAGGATAGTGTTTGGAAAAAAATCTCGCATTCGATTTCGGTATCGAATGCGAGGTTTTTTTCCAAACACTATCCTGTTTTCATTTCTCTGAATTTTGCCGATTTTTGGGTTTAGAATGATTCTTCAGGCTCATGCGCAGGGGCTATCGTCCTTTTTTTTGCTGAAAATTCAAAATCTGCCGAGATTTTTTACCTAAAAGATGCGATATATCGCATGCCAGTTCGACCACGTCACTTGAGCTTGACGAATCACCTTAATGAATTTAAAGCATGTGTACCAGATTTCAAATTCTTTCATATTTCCTATCTTCAATTATCTTTTTAACTCGAAAATTGTTACTTGGACGTTGTTACAAAGCACTATGTTTAATCTTCATGACTATTCATAACAAGTTTGAATGAACACTGATGCTCATTTTACCAAAATCAAAGTAGAAGGTACCAAAGGAAACTAAAAAAGCCCTGAAATTGTTAAATTTGTGCATTTCACCCATCAACGTTTCAAGGGTATCGGTAGTCACCTGATTTTAGAAGCAAACAGTGCTTGATGGCATAAGGAGAGTTAGAATACTCCGCCAAAAATTAGCTTACTCTCAATTTTCTCTCTATTAGATCAGGTAGATCTATCTGAAACCTTCGAAACCTTAGAGGGGTGATTTCACGATAATAGGAATAGTCGTGTCGCCGTGGGTTATGAACGACATAGAGGGCAAAACGATTGAAAACCAAATTAATTAATCAATAGGAATGATGTCCCTGAACCTATCCATGCTAAAAAATATGATGAATTATTATTATATTTAATAATATGAGACTTTAAAGGCCGAAAATGTCCGGTCGGTTACGCGTCGCCAACCCCGATTTTGAAGCAAAAGAGCAATTTGCGGTAACATATCAGTACTGATCATGAACTCTTTGGCGATATTTGCTGAAAAGAGACTCTAGTGTTCAAGAAAATTGCCAGTTTGAACTGAAATGT